TAAAGGACTGAAACTCAATCATTTTGAATCATTAGAAATCAACAAACTAAAACATTCTAACATTTCACTCAGCGATCAATTAGACCTCAATAGTTCATCACTGTTGAATTTGTTTTCTTAGTAAGTAATAGTATGTTTTTGCTATCAACTCTTTCAACTTCCGGTATATCGTATTTTAATGTAGATATTGTGCCTTATTTCCGAAAATGGAGGTACCTAACTAATCCTTCAGGTTGGGAAAGTAAGATATATAAAAGTTAAGCAAGCCAACGTTAGTTTAGTTCATTGTACCAGTATATCACCTGACGAAGTTACTGTATTAGCGAAATATGTCGTGTGTTTGTGAATTTTGTGGAAATCTTATCGTGAAGTTTTTACATTCAAAAACTCGTCAGTAACACGTGTTGACGGGCCGCTTTTGATCTCCAAATAACAAACGTACCGACTTGAGGAGGGAAATATTTTCAATCCTGTAAACTTCAATTATGTAAACTTTGGATGTATAGTTTATGCAAAGTTAGTTGAACAGATCATCAAACGAATGTCGGGCCACGCTGCCGCACTCTTTGTACTCATACAAACATAGTTTTATCATCTGTACCCTATGGTAAAAATTATAATGTCGATAAACTCATTCATAAATTCAATAACTAGCTATATGAATATTCCAAGAAGTTAAATTTTTATGCCAATGGGGACATTTCTTTCTTGGAGATCAATAGCTTCAAGGGAAAGAAGCTCAATAATTATAGAATTGCGAATAACATTTTAAATTACAATATTCTATCGAAAAAGCAAGAAAATAACCTAAAGGTTGTACCTATCAGAGAACATTTTTTAGAACAGGTTCAAAACAAGGAGATCACAGCTCTATAACATATCAAAAAAATGATTTCTTAAGTAAACAATATTCTGGGAGTTCAAATAATAATGAACAATCGAGCTCACATACTAAATCATTTACCCTAGTTTTACTCAATATTCAGTCTCTCAGACATAAGTGTGATGAACTTTATGTATTTATGAATTGTCTCAATTTTCCCAGTATGATATTATTAACTGAACATTGGTGTAACGTTAACGAACCTATATATATATACCTGAATACTCAGTAATATGCAGAAACTCCAGAACAGGCTCCAACCATGGAGGTACAGTTATTCTGATTAATAACAGGGTAATTAATGATTATTCCTTCATTCAAATTGAAAAGTTCAATGACCTTTTGGAGGATAAAACTTTTGAATTTACTATTTGCTTCAGCAAAACATATAACCTGTATGTGATATGTCTCTATAGATCTCCCTCCTCAGATGTTTATATATTTCTAAGTAACCTAGAGCTACTCCTGGCTGGCTTGCCCAGTAATTGTAGGGTCATATTAACAGGTGATTTTAATATAAATTATAATGACTGTGAATCTCTGGCTAGGGATTCACTAAAACATTTACTTTTATCATTTGACTTGAGTATGCACGTTAACGTAGATACTCGTATTTCTCGGTTCTCTGCTTCTCGTATTGACTACGTTTGTAGCAATCTAGAAGAACAGATAGAATCGTGCACTGTTATTCCATCCGGGTTATCGGATCACGAAGCAGTCATATGCTCTGTTCTTCTAGAGTCGCCAAAGAAACGTACCATATGTAAACTTGGTAGACTGTACAGTAGCTCAAACTATGATCGGTTCTATCAGAATAGTATTAGAATTGACTGGGAGAGTACTCTGTCCCAAGTTGATCCTTTTTTATCATTTCACAGCGTGTTAATGGATGTGTTTGATAAGTCTTTTCCTAAACAGGAAATCAAATTGAAGCGTAGGAAGCCGTGGGTGACGAGAGGACTGAAAAATTCCTCAAAAAACTTACGCTCACTGCATTATATTAGGAAATTTACGAATGATCAATCTATTTGTGCATACTTCTTGAGGTACCGTAAAATCTATAAGTCCACTATCAGGCTAGCGAAGAAAATGTATTACAGGAACAGAATTGGAGAATCAAATAAGAAAATTAAAGAAACCTGGTCCATAATAAATGACATCAGAGGAAAACCAAAGAAAACAAAGGTTGATATCCCACTAAATCCCAACAAAATCAACGAATTCTATTGCACCGTTGCTCAAAAGCTAAGCGACACAATTAGCGTGCCCTATGATCCCTTAATTAATCTGGAAAATATTAATATTGATGATAACTTTATTTTGTATAACACAGATATTCATGAATTGATTGAAACCTTGAACGATAACAGAAATAAAAAGGCCGCTGGGTATGATGAGATTTCGGTCAAAATACTTTTGAATCTACCAGTTACCTAATGCATTGGACACGTTAGTTAATCTCATTAATGCTTCCTTCGAAACTGGCTCATTCCCTCTTTCCTTTAAGACTTCAATTGTTATTCCCCTTCATAAAGGTGGTGACTTGGATAATCCCTCTAATCTGCGGCCCATTTCTCTTATACCAACCTTGGCGAAAATTATTGAAAAATTAGTAAAGAAAAGATTGTATGATTTCTTAAATTTGCATGATATCATGAGCAACAACCAATTTGGGTTCCAGAAGGAAAAAGATACAAGTGATGCAATATTCTCTTTCCTTTATAAAATTTATTCAGAAATTAATGCTGGAGAAGTAGCCGCCGCAATTTTCTTTGACCTTTCGAAGGCTTTCGATTGCGTTAATCATGAAATACTACTCAAAAAACTTCACCGGTATGGCTGCAGAGGGGTGACGTACAAATGGTTTGAATCGTATCTCTCAGGGCGAAGTCAAATAGTAAGAACTTCGGAACTCTCAGAAAGCAGGGCAATCACATCTGGTGTGCCACAGGGTTCTGTGTTAGGCCCAATTCTGTTTCTGTTATATATTAATGACTTGACTACGATAGATATATCTGGCAGCTTTACTCTCTTTGCGGATGATACAACAATATTGTGGAAGGAAAAGAACTCGGCAGAGCTACATAAAAAGATATCATCAGATGTAGAAAAGGTAAAAAATTGGTGTGATGCAAATTTGTTATCCTTGAATATCTCCAAAACAAATATAATAACATTTAAATGTCTGCTAAATGAACTCTCTATAGGCAATGATATCTTGGAAAATAGACTAAACACGAAATTTCTTGGTGTATTCATTGATAGTAAGCTTAAATTTGATGAACACGTTAGACAACTCAAGAGTAAAATCTCATCCGGATGTTATGCAGTGAGAATGGTTTCTAATGAGTTGGGTTTTCACACAGCAAAAACGGCTTACTACGCTTTAATTGACTCCCAAATAAGATATGGAATACCTTTTTGGGGAACATGCAGTGCAACCCTTCTCTCTTCTGTGTTGATATTACAGAAAAGGGCTGTAAGGTGTCTCTGTAAGGTCAAACCTAGGGATTCATGCAGGAATTATTTTGCTGCCAATAAGATTTTAACTGTCGTTGCACTGTTTATTCTTGAAACTGTATGCCTGGTATACAAACACAAAACGGAGTTTGACTTTGTTTCTTCTCCGTATGCAACTCGTAATAGCATATTTAATATCAGACTTCCCAGACCCAACTCAACATTAATCAAGGATTCCATTTTTTATAATGGTGGAAAGCTTTTCAATCACTTACCAGTAGATATAAGATCTGCAAATCTGACCAATGTGCATTTTAGGAAAGCAGTGAGAAATTTGCTAGCTGATAGACCCTTTTACAGCCTACAAGAGTATTTTAATGAATCCTTTTGAAAATATGTGTAATCTATTTTACTTTTATTGTATTTGTACTTGATTTATTCTAAAATTTTTTGTTTCTTATCTGTGCATATCTATACACTATTATTTATGTTTATATTTACATGTACTTACAAACCTTTGTCAATGGGATGCAAAATCTTCTGACAATAAAGAATATTTGAAATTGAAAAAAAAAAAAAAAAAAAAAAATTGAACTTTCAAAGGGACCGACGGCTTGCGGTGATGTGTTTTTCCAACTGAATTTGCATAAACTATACCATTCCGTTGGTATCGGATGGCATAATGGGCGTGTACACCTTAGTAGAACTTTTAACTCAAACCATGTTTATAATGATCATTTTATACATAAATAATGATTGACGACATAATTCGATCGAAAAATTAACTGAAATGTTTTATTTTTGGACATAAATAATAGTACCTTCTGAAAACGCACCCTCTTATGACGTAGAAACCTCATCTCGCCATAGTTAAAAGAAAATAACAAACGCCCGACGGAGACTGAGGCAACTGATATATTAATTCTTCCAACTGTGATCTCGCGCTAATTCACTCTGTCAGGAATCATGTATTATTCATCTCTGTCTGGAATAGTCTCGTTTCAGTATTAGGGTTTTGACGTCACATCATCGCCTCGTTTTCAGAGGTCCGAAAAATTGGGGATTTCAATAATTTTTTTATGAAACATAGGGAGCTCACAGCAAGAAACGGTTTGCGGTGGTGAGCTAGTTTGGGTCAGTTCTATCGAATTATTAAATAAAAATTTTTTGTGATATAAGCCCATTTTCATCTCGCAGCCGGCTCTCTTACTATAACATGCAGATTAAAATTATCTATATCATCAGTATATGTAAATATTGTCAAACAATTTACAATGAATACAAGATACGACAAGAACACTTTAATTAAATAAGATACATCGTTACATATTATATAATATACAAGGTAGATCTACAGGAAGTTTTCATTTTGGTAATTTGTGCAAGATGAAAATTTGTATCGTTGGTGCGGGTGCAGCAGGGCTAGCAGCTTTGAAACACAGTTTAGACGAAGGCCATTAACGGAACTATTTGATGAGGTATCAGTAACGTAACAATATATTTTTGATTCTGTAAGCTATAACTATGTAAACTTTGTATGTTCCATTCAATTGGTATCGGATGGCATAATTCTCCTCTCACAGCGCTCTCCTACTATAACATGAAGATTAAAATTATCTCTATCATCGGTAAATGTAAATATTCTCAGAGACAATTCACAATGAATTCAAGATATGACAAGAACACTTTAATTAAATAAGATACATCGTTACATATTATATAATATACAATATAGATCTACAGGAAGTTTTCATCGTAGTAATTTGTGCAAGATGAAAATTTGTATCGTTGGTGCGGGTGCAGCAGGGCTAGCAGCTTTGAAACACAGTTTAGACGAAGGCCATGATTGTGAGCTTTTCGAACAAACTGGGTTCATTGGAGGGGTATGGAAGTATGTCGATAAAGTGGGTCTCGATGAATTCGGATTGCCTATTCATACATCTATGTATGAAGATCTTAGGTGAGTGGTAAAGAAAACCCGATGGCGATGATGAAATTAGAAGCTTCAATTTCGGAATCAGTTTATTTTCCACATGATTGACTATTTCATTATTGATATTTTGAATTGACTCGGCCCTTACTGGTTGGAAATCCATAGTAATCGTAAAAAACTCCATAAGCGAAATGATTCAAACAAAATTCTTAATATATACAGTATGTCCAAGATAAGGTTGCACAGCATGGGGATCTCGGAAACGGTAGGAGATACGAAGTCGGTTAAATGGGGAAAAAGTTGCGCATTCGGAGGCTCATACCAACAGCCTTCGAAAATTTTCAAATTTTCATTTTAGTTTTTCAGTTATATCGAAAAAAGTGAATTTTTGGAATCTCTATTTTATTTTTTTTCTCCGTTATTATTAGAGATACAGAAAAACTGAAAATACTTTTTCATAGCAACTTTTGATGACGTTTAACGTGGTGATACCGATTTTTTTATGCGACGTTTCGTATTTGTAGAACCATCATCAACTTTTGTTTTTTAAATACGATCCTGATAATTCTTTCACCGATTCTGAAAGCTTTTTTATTCTGAATTCAACCATGTATAAGACAAGGTGGTTTGAATGTGTTTCGAACTATTTTTAGTCACCATCAATGTTTTTTTCGAAATTCCAAAGGAAAAATGCCATCAGTTCCACTTATTTTGAAGGAAAATTAGCCAACAAACTGATACCTCATCAAATAGTTCCGTTAAACATCATCAAAAGTTGCTATGAAAAAGTATTTCCAGTTTTTCTGTATCTCTAATAATAACGGAGAAAAAAAATAAAATAGAGATACCAAAAATTCACTTTTTCCGATATAACTGAAAAACTAAAGGAAAAATTGAAAATTTTCGAAGGCTGTTGGTATGAGCCTCTGAATGCGCAACTTTTTCCCCATTTAACCGACTCCGTATCTCCTACCGTTTCCGAGATCCCCATGCTGTGCAACCTTATCTTGGACAGACTGTATAACTACATGTTCCGCTCACACAGTACTTGCTTGTTGTATACTGTTAATCAACAAGTATTCTTCAGAGTAATAGGTTGAGCATCTGCGTGGGATCGATTCCCGGTAGAAGCGTTTTTTTTTTAATTTTTTTCATTCAAAATAAGACTTTCTACTATATCTAAATCTCTTTTCTGAGTATCTGAGTGAAAAGAGGCGGATCTACGTTTATTCATGTATCCATGGTCCTGAATGGATGTACTGAGGATGTACGAACGCGCGGAATCTGGACGTCCCCAGTACATACCTGAACGTCGACCGTACCAAATCTGGACGTCCCCAGTACGTACGACACCTCTTGGCTGGACGTTCTCATTACTTTTCGGGGACGTACTCGTGCTATATGGGACAATGAAACAAGAGAAGAAATCTTTCGCTCCATTTGGGAGAATATGCCTCAGTGTTTCAGACTGAAGTACTCGCAATACTTACCTGTGTCCAAGAAAACCTGATTATGAGAGGTCGTATACCAATCATTATATGCTCAGAGAGCAAAGCTTCAATACTGGCTTTGCAATCCAAAAGGATCACAACCAATTTGGTGTCCGAGTAGAGAAAGGCCTTGGAAAACCTGGTAAAATCAAGAATAGTCAGCCTCATGTGGGTCCCCGGACACTCGGGGATATTCGGAAACGCACCGCAGGGGAATTTTTTCGGGTTCAAGATAAATGCCTTCAAATTGAGAATTGAAAATTTTTCAGAGCTACAAGATTTTTATATCACAATATGTTCTCATTTTATTGATTATAATTGCTTTAAAGTTATAAAAAGGTATATGACAAATAGCGGAAAGCACGTGAAAATTATTCAAATATACTACCTGTAGGTTAACTGAGCAAGTGAATGTTGATAATTTTTCCAGATTTTTTAATATTTTTTCGTATTCCAGGACCAACCTACCAAAGGAAGTTATGTTGTTCGAAGATTTTCCTTATAAAAAAGAACTAACTCTCTCATATATTTCCTTCCAAGAAGTTCATGAATATATGGAAGCGTATGCAGAATTCTTCAAACTATCAACACATATCAAGGTGATTACTATCAGAAAGTTTAAAAAAATTCCTATATACGTTTTACATAATATCATTGATAAATTTGAAATTGGATAATTTGTGTTCGTAGTTATATCATCATTTGGAGGCTGTCAGTCCAATACCTGGAGGAAAATGGTCGGTACGAGTGAGGAATCTTGAAATGAATTTAATTGAAATGAAGGAATTCGATAGTATCATGATTTGTGTTGGCAACTATTCAGATCCAATAGTTCCAGAACTACCCGGAGAAAATGAATTTGGAGGAAGCATGATACATAGTCACGATTATAGGAACACAAATCCATACAAGAATAAAAGAGTATTAGTAGTAGGAGTCGGACCTTCTGGAATTGATATCGCCAGAAAGGTCCACGCAGTAGCAAAGAAGGTAAATACTTAAATCTGTATTTATGAATTAAATATTGTAAAGTTTCGGAGCATCGGCTGGGGATAGTCCTGCAGTGCTGCTCCTAAAGTGGCGCATGGAGTTAGTAACAAAGCCTACACATGACACGCAGAAAGATATGATGATGTGGTTGTGAGCATCAGAGAAGAAGTAGGACGGTGTATGTAGGTGGGTGTGGAAAACTACCAGCTGAGCGTGAGAGCGGGCCAGCTGCTTAAGTAGACCTCGGTCTCGGGGGTTAACGAGGATAGCTAGCAGGCCTGCCACTGCGCATATGGTAGTGAGTACATTACTAGCCTACAAAACACAGCTGAAAAACTCTGAAAAGAGAGCTGATGGGCGGTGCCTGAAAAGGATGTTAGCCAGCTCTCTTGAGCGAACCACATCAGCCATTGAAAACACTTGGGGTTTGCAAAAAGGTCCCATTGGGGACTAGTTGCTGACGTGGAAACGTCCCCCACCAGTACCAGTACCAGTACCAGTAAATTTGTATGTTTAGACTCAAGCAACATGTCTGTGAAGTGAAATGCAATATTTTCAACCTGAATGAGCAAGTCCTGTCTCAATACCTCTGCCATAAAGATATGAATATAGCGCAGTAAAACGGTAACGATGGAGATTCTCTCGTGGAAAAAAATCAAGTAGTCGTTTTCTTTACGATGTCGAATTTTTTTGAGGTTGCTGAATCTGAATCTAAAGCTTGCAAATAAAATTTACTGGAGCGTTCCAAGATATTTTCGCAATTTTCAGTTCTTTTCCCAGACGAATTTTGCTTGGTCTCAAAACGAATAAGGCTAACGGTCCTGATGGAATTCCACCCATTATCCTCAAAAAATGTGCACCAGAATTAACACCGATTCTCTGCAAGTTGTTTACCATCTCGTACAGGTCGGGTATTTTTCCATCATGATGGAAGACAGCTAGAGTCCAACCAATCCCCTAAAAAGGGAACAAGAACCTGCCCAACAACTACAGGCCCATTGCCCTGTTATCAGTAATCTCCAAAGTGATGGAGAAAGCCATCAATATTGAGCTTATCAAATATCTGGAGAGCTCAGGAATCATCAATGATAGACGATACGGCTTTCGCCACCGAATATCTACTGGAGATCTACTTGCCTACGTCACCCATTTATGGCAATCTTCAATAGAAAAACACGGGGAATCTCTAGCTGTCGCGTTGGACATTTCGAAAGCATTCGACCGTGTTTGGCACGAAGGACTCCTCCACAAACTATCATCATACGGCTTACCACCTCAGCTATGCCATCTCTTATCGAGTTTTCTTTCAGGCAGATCGCGCTTCACGTGGTGGTGGACGGTGTATCGTCTGATACCTTTGGCATCAATTCCGGCGTTCCACAAGGATCAATTTTGGCACCAACATTATTCCTGCTTCATATCAATGATCTGTTGGGAGTAACAACTTGCCCCATCCACAGCTTTGCAGATGATAGTACCCTCCATACTGCGTTCTCCTCTTCCAGAATTCCCATTTCTTCCCAGGAAACTAAGAACTCACGGCGCAGGCAGGTCAATGCTGTCAATGAAGATCTTGCTGAAATCACAGCCTGGGGAACAAACAACCTAGTTGAATTCAACGCCACCAAAACTCAAGCCTGCATTTTCTCTAGAAAGGCGGAACTCAGTATGCCCGATATTGTAATGTCTGGCTCCACCATCCCCACCTAGCCCACCATATCTATGCTCGGTATTTCCATCAGCAACACTCTTTCATGGAATAATCATGTCAGATCCATCGCAAAAGCTGCTTCACAAAAACTCGGATTCTTGTTCCGTGCGAAAAGCTACTTTACACCTCAACAGCTTCTCATGATCTACAAAGCGCAGATACGGCCTGTTCTAGAATACTGTTCCCACATATGGGGTTCAGCACCAAAACATATGCTGATGCTCTTAGATTCCATCCAGAGAAGAGCCATTCGCCTGGTGGGTGACGCCACACTCACTCACTCTTTGACATCATTGGAACACCGTAGAAAGGTCGGCGACCTTTCACTTTTCTATCGATACTTCCACGGGAAATGTTCTTCGGAAATCTCTGCTATCATCCCTTCACTAGCAATACCAATCAGACGAACTAGACAAGCCCAGTCAGCACATCCTTTCGTTGTCAACCTCGAAAGATGTCGAACAGCACTTTATCAAGACTCCTTCATCCATAGAACGGCTAGGCTCTGGAATTCATTGCCTGTGGAAGTGTTCCCAACAACATATAATCTCCAAAAGTTCAAAAAAAAAATCCAATACCTACCTCCTGTCCCTATCCTCCCTAGAAACGCACGATGTTCTTTGAACATTATAGGGATTCCCTTTCGTGCGCTACAAGCGATAAAAAAATATATATATTTCAGCGAACAGACCACAACATAAATAGTTGAAGTAGTTGAAATTGTCTATATTTAACTGTTCTTGGTCATGAATTCAGGACTGAAAAGTGAAAAGCCAAGAGTGAAAAATATACCAGATTTGCGTATTTTGCAAAAAATAAGTGTTTTCCGTCGTTTCTCGTAGATAATTCATAATCTACGAATTTCTAGAAAAAACAAACTACACTGCCCGATGAGGAGGAGTCCTAGAGCCTTGTGAGTACTCGCTTTTGTCAGAGTGTAAGTCGATTCTAGGTTTCTCACAGTAGGGGAGGTCCGCCAACAGTGACGATAGCAAGTACAGTGGCCATACCCTCTATATTATCAGACTATGATGAATACTACTGGCATTTTTTATGTTCTGTGCAACTGCTCATGCTTCCGATGGTTTTGGACTCTCAATTTTTTGAACTAGAACAAACCTCTATTCGATCTAGTGTCCAGTCCGTTGCTGTCTGTGACGGTTCTATTTTGTTGTTATTTTTTCATCGGTACAAGTTACGTATATCAGTGTATTTTCCATTGAATAACATCTTCATAGGTAATGTATTACTGATGTAAATTCATATTTATCATGAAAATTGATCTATTTGAACCACCTTATGAGATGAAGATGTGAAAAATCAAACTATTATTTTGAGGTTAGATCGAAATGGTTCCAATTGAATTTATTGGCACAGTGGTCATCATCCGATTGGAAACAGTGGCCACTGGTTTTCACATATAAAATAGTGACCATTGTTCCCCTATATTCAATTCCCTATCGCAGAAAGTGATCATATCTCGACCAAAACAAAAAAACACAAGTTCAATTGGAGATGTCCTTGTAGGAACTATGAAAAATGCACTTTGTAGCATGGGAGAACATAAGGACTTTCCGTGAAAGCAGCTGCAATACGATTCAATATTTTCAAAACCACTCTCTAATCATATGTCGCCTAATGGGGAAGACCACTGATTTTTTAAAACGACATTATCGTGAACTCTATACTGAAAAACTACCAGTGAATTAATTTTGAGTTTTTTCATTCATGCCAAGACGATGAAAAAAATAAATTAGTATATGCGTCCATTTCCAAACACACAATTCGTTAGCCGAGGAAAGAAAAACGAGTGTCTCAGATACCTGCAGAAAGATGAGGTTAACACGATCAGCTTCACCTGTACCATCAACACCTCCAGAACCAGATCCTTCAGGGTACCTAAACCAGCCTCCCGCGAAGAGAGATATCCTGTAATGTTTAGAGCACATCGTGAGAACCAAGGGAAATGAGGTAGGAATTGATGTTCTTAAATTTCTGGAGGTAATATGCCTCGGGGAACACCTCCCTTGGCAATGTGTTCCAGATAACCTCGCTGTTCGTTGGATGAACGAGTCTTTGGAAAAAGATGTTCTGCAGGTCTCCAAAGTGACCACGAAGGGGTGCGAAGCCTCAACTCGATGGGGGGTTAATCTCGCAGGGACTGTCAAGGGAGGAACAATTCTTGATATTTCAGAAGCGCATCGTCCATGAAAATATCAATAAAATAGAGCCAGATCGACAACTTTTCTACGGGGTTCCAGAGAAGTGAGTGAGTTTGTGAACGAGAGGCATCACCCACGAGACGAATTGCCCTTTTTTGGACAGAATCCAACAGTTTCAGGGTATGTTTGGGTGCTGCACTCCAAATATGGGAACAGTATTCCATGACAGATCGGATCTGTGCCTTATAGATCAGAAGCAGCTTACTGGAAGTGGAATAGGTCCTGGCTCGAAACTGAAAACCAAATTTTTGGGATGCACTTTTAGCAATTGATCCCACGTGATTTTCCCAAGAAAGGTTATTGCTGATAGTAATAGCAATGGATGCATCGAAATGGATGTCTTCAAAGGTATGGTTACTCCTGAAGAGCTCATGTTGGGCACAGTGAGATCGGCTTTTCTAAAGAAAAGGCATGCTTGTGTTTTGTTTTCATTGAATTCTACCAAGTTATTGGATCCTCATTCGAGAATTGTTGCCAAGTCCATATTTATGTTGTCAACATTTCTTCCTCGTTCGTTCATGATTTGCCTGGCTGGTATTGGAGCCCTGGAAGAGAAGACAGTATGGAGGGTACTATCATCCGCGAAGCTGTGTACTGGACATGAAGTTGCTTCCAACAAATCGTTGATATGGAGTAGAAATAGTGTTGGTGCTAGAATTTATTCGTGTGGAACACCAGCATTTTTTATGAGAGTCAGATAAAACTCCGTCGACCACTACATAGAGAAGCCTGTTTGGGAAAACACTATAGCTAGCAGAGAACATTGCTGGGGAGGCTCGGCGAGGAGTCCATGCATGGTTCCAGACTCGATCGAATGCCTTGGAGATATCAAGTGCTACGGCTGAGGCTTCACCATATTTCTGAATAGATTGCTGCCATATATGTGAGACGTAAGCGAACAGGTCACTAGTCGTTCTCTGATGACGGAAGCCATATTGCCTATCGTTGATAATACCTGAATGTTCCAGGTATTTTCTGAGCTCGATGTTGCTAGCTTTTCCCATGATCTTTGAAATAATAGATAGCAATGCGATCGGTCTGTAGTTGCTAGGTAGGGTCTTTTTGCATTTTCTAGGAATTGATTGTACTATTGCAATCTTCCAGTTAGACGGAAATATCCCCAATTTGTCAGAGTAGTTGAACAACTTGCAGACAACCATGATAAATATTTCTTTTCGGATCAATTGTCAAATAATATTGGAGTTCCTCAAGGATCTGTTCTGGGCCCAATTCTGTTTATTTTATACATAAACGATTTGCCCTCTGTTTTACCTAACTCATTCACGTGCTTATATGCTGATGATTCCTCTTTTCTATTTGGATCTACTGATCGAGTTGAGCTGCAAGAGAACATTGATTCGGATTTGAATAATCTTCAAAACTGGTTATGTGAAAACTCTTTGTATCTGAATACTCCTAAAACAAAAGCTGTTATTTTCCATACTGCTCAAAATTCTAATTATGGTAATCCAAGTATTAGAATATCGGATGTTGTAGAAAAAGGTGACAGTGTGAAATTCCTAGGTCTTTCTCTGGATAGCGATCTCAATTTTCGTGCACATTGCTCTCAACTTAACAGAAATCTCAACAATATTTGCTATTTGTTACGAAACCTTAGAAGAATTATCGATAATTCAGGTTTACTTCTATATTATTTTGGAGAAATTCAATCCAGACTCAGCTATAGACTTATCATCTGGGGAAATTCTCCATCGGCACGGTGTGTTTTTTCAACACAAAAACGAATTATCAGGATAATTGCGAAAGTATCACCTCTAGAGTCATGCCGAAATGTGTTCAAGAAGTTCAAAATATTACCTTCAGCAGATCTTTATATCATGGAAATTCTAGTTTTTGTACACAATAATAGAAATAGTTTCATAAAAAATAATCATATTCACAATTACAATACCAGGAACCAAAACAAATTCCATTTGCCTACGACACGATTGTCTCTGTGTCTCAATTCTTTCGAATCTCTGGGACTCAGGGCATATAATACTATTCCAGAAAATATAAAATGTTCAAGTAATGAGAAAGTGTTTAAATATTAATTGAAAAATCTCCTCTTTGAAATTAGCCCATATACAGTTGATGAGTTTTTTACATTTCTGCAGAACTGATGATTTTTGTATGTAATATTTTCATCTTATTTTAGTCATTTTACCTTATTGTCAATTATTTAAATGTTTACTTGTATATTTCATGTATTCTTACTTGTCCAATGGCTTTTGTAAGCTCGTTTTAAAGGATCAATAAAACTACTACTACTACTACTACTACTACAGTCATTGCAAGTAAATTAATCTTGCCGTTCATCTTGGAACCCATAAAAATTTGGAAAAAGTAAAAGGAAACACAGAAAGTATTCAAACTGAAGGAGAAATCTAAATTGAAGTTTCATAGAATACAGAGGCGGTACGCAAAAAAGTTCGAGGGGGTTACTCCAGGTACGATCCTCAAAAGTGTATCATCCTATAGGTATTCAAGGACGCTCGATAGCCCGAAATATTGCGTTTCCAAAATGTGAAAGGTGTAACAAATACCAATTCCATATTTCAGGTAGTTCTGTGTAAAAGATCAACAAAAACTGGGTTCGGACTGAAGATAGCTGACGGCGTTATAGTTAAGCCAGAAATCGATGAAATGTCGGAGAAGATTGTTAAATTCATTGACGGATCTGAAGAAGAAATTGATGACGTCATTTTATGCACAGGTAGATAGATGTACATAATAATGTTTCCATGAAGAGTTGCTGACAGTTTGAATAGAATTATTCGTTATTTTGTTCCAGGGTACAGATTTTCGTTTCCATTTTTGACTCCACAATGTGGTCTTGAAGTTGATGATCATTACGTCAAATATCTCTACAAACATACTATAAATGTTGAATATCCATCAATGGCATTCATTGGGATACCAAAGAATCTCCCACTTTTTCCTTTGTACTGTTTACAGGTAAAGCAATTCTTTACAGCAATATGTGAATGAAAATCTCACACCTCATATTATCAGTCAATTGAAAGCATGTTTTTTGTATCGTTACCGTAGCAACTCAAAAAATGCCATGATCATGTAATGGCTATCAATTCATGATCGTTGCAAAATATTATATTACATAACAAGTGTTGTAAAACGCATATTACGCATGAGGTGGAAAGAGTTACACACGATGCCGCGTAGATCATCCTGAAGATCCTGATCAGGATGATCAAACAAAATTATTGAATCATGTTATTTCCATCGGTCCTTGATGAGTTTGCCAAGTTTCTGATCCAGATATAGATAAAAAAGCAGCATAAACTTATTCGTAGGAAAAACAAGTATTTGAATATTTGGTGAAGGCTTATCATTCATCATTTTATTCGAAGAAAGAAAATCACTCATCCTGAAAATCCTGATCAGAATAATGAAACGAAACTATTAAATCATGCCGTTTTCATTGGTCTTTGATGAGTTTGCGAAGTTTCTTATCCAGATATAAAAAAGCATTGTTAAGTTATTCCAAGAAAAAAACGAACATTTGGATATTTGGTGAAGGAACTTCTTCCACCATTTTTTTGGGAAAAAAATCGCCTATCCTGAAAATCCTGATGATGTTAATAGAACATCTTCTTCTTCTTCCAGAGTGTTCCTGGTATTAGTTTTTAGTCTGTGTCTTCTACAAGCTCTGGTGCCCCCTTCTTACATAATAAACGGCATTCCACCAAGAAACACTCTGGAAGAACCACATTTATTTACTCATCCCCTGAAAAAAGTCCCCTCCCGGTACAGTGAAGAATGAACATTCACCATTTTATTCGAGAAAAAAATCACTCATCTTGAAGATCCTCCTCAGGATAATAAGAAATGATTCTATTTTCATCGGTCCCTGATGAGTTTGCGAAGTTTCTCATCTAGATATATATGAAAAAACAGCATATGAATATTAATATCAATTTATCATACATCCAAAAAGCATAAAGTTATTCGAAGGAAGAACAAGCATTTGACTATTTGGTGAAGGATTTCCATTCACCATTTTATTCGAGTAAAAAAAATGATCATCCTGAAGATCTTGATAAGGATAATGGACAAAACTAATGAATAATGCTCTTGCATTCGATCTTTGATGAGTTTGCGAAGTTTCTTATCCAGATATAAAAAAGCATTGTAAAGATATTCCAAGGAGAAACGAACATTTGAATATTTGGTGAAGGAACATGATTCGCCATTTTATTGAAGAAAAAAAATCGCTCACCCAGAAGATCCTGATCAGGAAAACAGAACAAAACTTTTCAGTTATGCTATATTTTATTGGTCCTTGATGAGTTCTACCTTGTTCAGATATAAAAAGGCAGCATAAAGTTTTTCTTAGGAAAAACAAGCATTCGAATATTTGATAAAGGATTATCATTCACCATTTCATTCGAGAAAAAAATCGCTCATCTTGAAGATCCTCCTCAGGATAATAATAAATGATTCTATTTTCATCGGTCCCTGATGAGTTTGCGTAGTTCCTCTTCTAGATATATATGAAAAAACAGCACATGAATATGAAGATCAATTTATCATACATCCAAAAAGCATAAAGTTATTCGAAGGAAGAACAAGCATTTGGAGGTGATGAGATAATTAAGAGAACAAACTCAAAGTCTCGCTCCAAGTAAACAAACATTTAAATATTTGGTGGAGGATTATCATTCACCATTTTATTCGAGAAAAAAAATAGCTCATCCTGAAGATCCTAATCAGGATAATGGAATAAAATATTGACTTATGCTATTTCTATCGGTTCTTGATGACTTTGCGGAGTTTCTTATCCAGATATAAAAAAGCATTGTAAAGTTATTCCAAGGAAAAACCAACGTTCGAATATTTGGTGGAGGATTATAATTTACCATTTTATTAGAGAAAAAAAATCGCTCATCCTGAAGATCCTGATCAGGAAAATGGAACAAAACTAATGATATATGCTATTTTCATCAGTCTTCGATGAGTTTGCGAAGTTTCTTGTTCGGATATAATTAAAAAGAAGAGCATAATATACGTTGGAGAAATGAGCTCGCTCATCCTGGAGATCCTGATCAGTTGATTAGTTGACTGAGTTTCGCAGCCGATATAAAAAAATAGTCGCAAAAGCTGCTTCACAAAAACTCGGATTCTTGTTCCGTGCGAAAAGCTACTTTACACCTCAGCACAGCTTCTCATGATCTACAAAGCGCAGATACGGCCTGTTCTAGATTACTGTTTGCACATATGGGGTTCAGCACCAAAACATACGCTGATGCTCTTAGATTCCATCCAGAGAAGAGCTATTCGCCTGGTGGGTGACGCTACACTCACTCACTCTTTGACATCATTGGAACACCGTAGAAAGGTCGGCGACCTTTCACTTTTCTATCGATACTTCCACAAGAAATGTTCTTCGGAAATCTCTGCTATCATCCCTTCACTAGCAATACCAATCAGACGAACTAGACAAGCCCCAGTCAGCACACCCTTTTGTTATCAACCTCGAAAGATGTCGAACAGCACTTTATCAAGACTCCTTCATCCATAGAACGGCTAGGATCTGGAATTCATTGCCTGTGGAAGTATTCCCAACAACATATAATCTCCAAAAGTTCAAAAAAAATTCCAATACCTACCTCCTGTCCCTATTTTCCCTATGAACGCACGATGTTCTTTGAACATTATAGGGATTCCTTTTCGTGTAACGTTGGTTACGGGCCATGCATTACAGATGAGAAATGGTCTGATGTTTTTGCAAGAACATGTTTCAATTGTGTTTTCTCACGCACATTCTTGAGTACTGAGAGCGAGGAAGATATGGACGCATCCAGAATGAATTGTTTTTCTGAGAACAAGTTGATTTTCATTCAATTCTCCTCCCAACCGAGATTCGGAGGGCGTTCCAGATTTGGGTCACTTTCAAAAAAACTGTAGATCTTTGATAACTATCTTGAGTCAATTCTGATATTCAGATCTCTTCATCTGAAGTTTTATCTTCAAAATGGGCCTAAGATTTCAAAAATCGGTTGACGTGGAAAAAAGTTATGACTGCAAAACCAAAAAGTTGATTTTTTGAGATCACTCTGTAAATAAGAGAGATAGGAAGTTGCTTCGCGAAATATCTCGAGGTGATGAGATCATCTTCATGCCTCTGTGGTCGAAGTTGAGAAAACAATTTTTTTCACCATTTGAGAGCCTTTTGAATATTCCGAAATTTTGCACAGTGTCGTAAAACACCATGTAGAGATTTTATGTGGATACCCTTATGTTTCAATGAAGTACCAAGATTATAGCTGAAGGACTGGGCTATCGAACAGTGTGAACCAAATTCAAATTGTTCTGAACTGAAAAAACTTATTCACATTATAACAGGGGCGACATTTTGGTGTGCGACGAAATTAGTGTTGAGTAGTTTATATCACACACACAGTTGATGGCTTCTGTTGTGCGATAGTTTCGAAACATGAGTCAATAATACCGTCTCTGAGAAAGAACTGCAAGACCTTTTATCTTCCATTCGACTTCGCGGTTACGTATATTACTAAACAATCACTAAATTCGCAATTTTTTGAAATCAAATCACAGAATTAGAATGGCAGAAGTGACATCAGATATTTGATTACTTCAGAAGAATGATAAAGATGCCTACAACGCAGGTGTCCCTACTGTTACAGTATATTATGTAACAAGTGTTATAAACGTCCTTTTAGTAACGAGTTGTTTAAGCACGAGCGGAGCAAAGCAGAGCGAGTGTTTGATAAACGAGTGTCTAGAAGAGTTTATGAACGCGTTACATACTATGATTTTTCTACGAACTCCGAAAATTACATCAACATACCTGCAATCCCTGCTAACCTAGGAGGAAGGAATGGGAATTGAGAACATAATACATGCAACTGCATGCAACCAGCGAGACATGTATAAGTGATATTGTGTCCAGTCCATTGCTTACTAACCTTTGTTTCACGTTTATTGTCAAGCGCAGAATAAATAAATTGTTCTCAAAGATGGAAGCTTCATTTTTACACTTCTTGGAGATATGCAAGTACCAAAAACATTCTCTTTTCACTTTCGTCTACATTTCGCATATATTTTTAATGAAGAATTCTGATACAAACGAATATTGTTTGAATAATTCTGCTACAAAATTCGAAAATAACAGTTGACAGTTGATACAATTGACAGGCCAGACATGTCTCAAATTACTGAAGCTGTGTTTAATGAACTGCGTTGCCATGGTAATGTGCATAAGAAATCGTGTTGCCATGGTAACGTGTTTAATATTTTGAATAAATCACAGATCGACAATCCGTGATTAATCGATCATTTAGCGTGGTACATATCCGTACGCTAAATGTTTGTTAAGTATAAATTTAGTAATCAAGAGAAGCGTAATATTCATGGATGATTTACATGTAAAAATTATCGTACGAATATTGCGATTATCGTAATAGTAAAACTCTTTGATCTCTAGAAGAGATTCATTCTTCAGGATTCTACAATATGGATACCCAGTATATATATCTACCTAATTTTGATGTTGTCAAGCAAGCTGATGGTTGAGAATATGAAGGTATTTGGTATTTCAATACTGTATGAAGGTTAATCAAGGAGGTGCAATGTTCAATTGACGAGGAGAGCAAATCCCGAAACTAGGAAAATGATTATAGGTTTTTTATGAATTGGTATGTAGATATAAGGAAACTGAGAACAGCGGGCGGTAAAGTGCACTTTACGGCCCGTGGGCCATAATGAGCTCGCGGGCGGTAAAGTGCAACTTAACGCCCGCAAAACCGGGCGATATAGTGCACTTTACGGCCCGCTAGTGCATAAAGTAATTTACGTTACCGCGAAGTCGAAGACGGTTTTATTGGCGTATTTTTCGGAACTATAGTACGACAATAAAAGTTATCAACAGTGTATATACAGGGTGTCTATGATCGGTTGGGAAATGGCTCGGCTGTGGACTCCTGGGATGAAAACAAATTGATTCATAGGCCAACTCACCTATATCCAAAAACCGTCTCGTTGAGTTGGTACAAGGCGTTGAAGTTTTTTTGGAAAAAAATAATTTTGCTCATAAACAGAGTAGGCTGAGATCGATTTCCATAATTGTTGGATGGCATGTTCTGTGACTGTAAGACACGTTTTGAGATGTTTTTGATCATCACCAGTTACCTGCAAGTGTTTCAACAACCATGTTGCTGTGCAAATTTGGTGATAACTTTTCAAAGGTCAGACTGAAAACTTCCAGTTTTTTTTCCAGAAAGATATTCCCTTCAGAGATATTTTTTTGTATCGTGTTAATTTTTGTTAAGTCTCGAGGTTCATTTGCACTTGAATAATTTCTGATATAATGCATCCTGCGCATTTTTGAAAATTAATTTAATTAGTCGGACTGTTTATTGATCATTGCTACAATGTATTCTTATTATTTACAAACTGATATGTTGCTGGTCCTCGCAAGCTTCACAAGAACTCTCGTGTTACAAATTAAGCGATAACTATTCAGGACCTACTTTAACGCCTTGTACCAACTCAACGAAACGATTTTTGATATAGGTAAGTTGGCTTAAATCAACTTATTTTCATCCCAGGAGTCCACAGGCAAATCATGTCCCAACCAGATTATATTTCTAAAAAATGCATAAGATGCCTCAGATCAGGAATTTCAAATGGACCGCGAGACTTATCAAAAATTAACACGATACAAAAACTATTTATGAAGGAAATATCTTTGTGGAAAAAGAAACTGGAAGTTTTCAGTCCGACCTCTGAAAAGTTATCACCAAATTTGTACGGCAACTTGGTTGTTTGAAACACTTGCAGGCCACTGATGATGATCAAAAACATTTCAAAACGTGACTAACAGTCACAGAACTTGCCATGCCAAAAATTATGAAAATCGATCCCAGCCTACTCTTTCTATAAGCAAAATTATTTTTTTCAAAAAAAAACTTCAACGTCTTGTACCAACTCTAGGAGACGATTTAGGATATAGGAAAGTTGGCCTAAATCCACTTGCTTTTCCCAATCATTTACAGACACCCTGTATATGTGATATATATCTCGGAAGAAATACTCAGTTTTTTTCCGTGGAAAAAAATAATTTATGGAAAGTGACATTTTATAACCTGTCAACAGAGATGAAGTTTCAAAACTTTTTTCTCGTCATAGAAATAAATATACGTTCAACTCTTCTTCTTTTCAGCCATCAGTTCCCAATTTCAAAGGAATCCTATTTTCATGTTCTCCTTTTGGATGTTCAACAGATATAATTCGATGTTCGACGTGGCAAATAGCCAGGAAAGTAGTTGTTTTCTGTTGAATATTCAGAGTGGTATCCTGTGCATACATATTTTTTCTGAAGTAGAATGCAAATACTCAACTTCATTGCAGAAGATTTTATTTTCAAATTCTCATTGTGTGTGTTCAATAGATATAATCCAATGTTTGTCGTGGCATATAGCCATCAGGAAAGTAGTTGTTTTCTGTTGAATATACCGAGAGAGAATCAATATCTCCATCACAGAGAACACGAATTTACTGATATTTTTTAATAATATCATGATTTAAGGCACGATTCTACTTGGCATTTCTGAGAGGAAATTTCACAGTGACTAAAGAAGAAATGAGACAAGACGTTGAGAAATTTTTGGAAAAATTTGAACAATCTGAAGAACAACCAAACACGAAAGTCGGTAAGGAATTCAAGCAGTTTTTGGAAGACCTGGCTACCCTGGCCAACATAACGCCAATGAAACCAGTAATCCCAAACATTTTCGAACATCTGATCAAAGAAGGATTTGGAAATTTCAATATGAGATATACAATATTGAATGACGATGATTTCGAACAAAATGCATTATGACGATAATGATGTTTGCATACACACAAAACAGAACTAAATAGTGTGAAGTAAATAAATTCATTAATGAAGAACTCGACCTTTTGAATAAGTCCTGAATTTCGTTCCTTCTGCATCAATCCGCGAGTCAATATCTTCTAAATTCTCCAGAAAGATTTGCCAGAGAAGCAGTTAGAAAACATATTTCCAAAAACGTAATCAATCATGAACATAACTTTCAACGAAAAACTCAAATCATTATCAAAGGATTTGAAGAAAAAGAATGCTTTCACAAAAGCCGATAAAGGTTATAAGGTTGTTATTTTGAATAAAGAGGATTATTCTCGAAGGGTTGACAATCTCATTGAGGATGACCCTTATAGAAAATTAACAAGAAATCCTTCATCAAAAATGGCCAGTCGAGTCTACTCAACTTTGAATAAATGCCAAAACCTTATTACGTCACATAACAAATATAATTTACAAATATCGAACCCAAGTGTACCAAGATTATTTACCAAGAAATCACAAACCCGCTAAGAAAATGTGGCCGATGTATCCGCAATTGAGTCTCCCATTTACAATATTTCAAAGTAGTTGTTAGAAGTTTCCAAAACTTCAAATAATCCTTAAAACATTCCTTCTGTGTCAAATTCTCTTGAGTTCATCGAGAAGGTCGAAGGTTAACATCTGACCGAGGGTGATAATCCTTATTTCATTCGATGTTTCATCACTTTCACCAAGCGTACCCATACCAACAACTTTGGAATATTGAAGGAAATTACTCGAATATATATAATATACCGGATGTTTCAAAAAAATTTGGCCCCCTTGCTAGGATAGGTAGAACACTGCAAAAGAAGTTGGGTTTGCTTAGTGAAAAAATGTCGTAACGGCATCCGTTTTCATGATACAAGGTGTTGAAAAAATGATTTTTTTACACATTTTTCACGATTATGTCGAATCTACTGGCAACATTGTAATGAAATGTTGTATGAATGTTTCTTGAAATCTGACACATCGCATGAATTTGTTTTTATATCTGACTCTCATAGATGACATAGTTACACAGTTCGTACCGAGTAGTTTAGAGCATAACTTTTTTGAGGTAAGATTATTCAAATCAAATATGATATGAACTTGAACATTATTCAATTTTACACCAAAAAGATACTCTTAGTGAAACTCGATACTATGTTCCGTTTTCGGAATATTTCGATTCGAAAATAATGGAGTAGTAACGATACTGGTATAAAAAGAATTTTATTAAGTTCAATTACCTATTTATTCAGATTCAAAAACAATAAAATTTTTCTTGTGCTGAAGTTATTGATAGAACAAAGAATCATAAGTAGAAAATTCAGAGATATTTGACTAGAAACATGAAATATTGAATCAGTTAGAGTAAGTGTTCAAAATGTCCTACGTTTCGATGAATTCACGATTCTATATTCTTTTATTGAGAATGTATTATTCTTCTGAACAGTTGGGGATCAGCTGTTAGGTCATTTGAGTGATGTTCAGTTATGTCTTACAACTCTTGACGTGAATTTACCTATGTAGCATAGACTTTCTGCTCAAGATAAAACAAAACTGTGTAATCCATGTTCTTAGTCAAATCTGTTTCGATGTTTTTCTTGTGATTTATTGTTAAATCAATGAGTTTAGCATCAGAAATGTATTGTTGTTTTCGGTTTTCAATAAATAGGTGATAATTTTTCATAATACTCACTCTAAAACATTGCTTTATACCAGCAACAGTTATCACTCCATCATTTTCAAATCGAAATATTCCGAAAAAAGAACACAGTCTCGAGTTTTACCAAGTGTACCTTCTTGGTGTGAAATTGAATGATGTTCAAGTCCACATGAAATCTGGATTGGAAAATCTAACCTCAAAAAACGTATGTTCAAAACTACTCGGTACGAACCGTGTTACTATAGCGCCCTCTATGAGAGTCAGGTATAAAAACGAATGCATGCAATGTGTCAGATTCCAAGAAAAATCCATACAAAATTCCATCACAATGTTGCCAGACTTGAGAATAATCTTGAAAAATGTGTGAAAACATCATGTTTTCAACACCTTGTATCTTGAAAACGGATGGCGTTACGACATTTTTTGACTGAGCAAACCCAACTTATTTTGCAATGTTCTACCTACCCTAGCAAGGGGGTTAGGTTTTTTTGAAACACCCTGATCCGGATAATATTGAGGAATTGGTTAATAATAATAATATAATAATAATAATAATGTTTATTCAAAAAAGGAAATAAATATATACACAAGTTAATTATGTAACAAAGATGTGGATAAACATTAAGAATCCCATGTAACCTCAATGTAGGTTGTTTGGGAGAAACAATACTAAACAAAAAATTTTATATAAAAAAAATACATGTACTTAAGATAATGGGGATATATAGAGAGAATAAATGTACACTATAGGTTTATGAATAGAATAATATTAGACAGTATGATAAAGTTATTTATGTCTCGATCAATTCATTCACCGTGATTATTGGTAGATTCAATAAAAAAGTTTTGAATAACTTTTTTATAAGTGGAAAAGAATTTATAATATGAATATAGGATTTATATATTTCAGGTAGGAAGTTAAAGATTTTCCCAGCCAAATAGGTGAAACATCTCTGACCTGTAGATTTCTGTGTTCTTGCTAACACTACATTATCATTACTTTGATTTCTAGTATGATACTTGTGTTTTGTCTTCTGCAATAGATCTTTATTTTTATACATATAGGTGATGATGTGGTACGTATATAGTTTCCTCAGATTCAGAACCTGCGCGTCTTGGAATAGACATATAGTGGGGTAGGTGTACTGTTTTCTGTATATTATTTTTAGTATTTTTTTTTTGAAGGACTCCTAGTTTTTTGACGTGTGAAGTTAATACGCCGCCCCAACTAAGAATCGCATACTGAAGTCGCGACTCTACCAGAGAAAAATAAATTGTTTTTAGATGAGAAATGTCTAGGATTTTCTTCAGGTATTTGAATTTGAATAGCATTTGTCTCAATGTTTTGGTGACTTCGTTTACATGTTCTTTCCATCTCAAGTGTGGGTCAATCGTTACTCCTAAATATTTTATGCTATTTGCAAATTTTAGCGCAATCACTACTCCCTGATTATCGATTGACAATGTCTGGAAACTAGGTAGTGACGATGCATAACTAGCAAAAGGCATAAAAAACGTTTTTTCAAAGTTGATAGTAAGTTGCATATGGTTGAACCAGTTCATCAGTGATGATATATCTTTCTCAACCTTTTCTTTCAGTTCGGTCCACGATGGAGCTGTATAGTCAGCGAAGCTATAAATTTTCCCACTACTAGGTAGTGTGAGTAAGCTATTCATATATAGTGAGAATAATAGTGGACCGAGAACTGTTCCTTGCGGTACTCCGTATCTAATTGTTTTCTCTGAACTGATGCTGCTTTCAACCTTGAAACCTATTTTCTAAGTAACTCTTCATCAATTTCAAAGATTGCCCCCGTATTCCTGTGTCCTCCAAGGCTTCTAATAGTTGTGCTATATTTACTGTATCGAAAGCCTTGGTGAGGTCCAGGAATCTCACCAACCTCTGCATGAGCCAGAATATTTTCCAATATGAACGAGGATCATTTGAGCAACATGAAGGAACAGCTATGGGAAACTGTTTATCACCTTTATTTGCTGAACTGTTCTTGAATCAGTAGAATTATGCCATCCGATACAATGGGCGTGTATGCCTTAGTAGAACTTTGAACTCAAACCATATGTTTATAATTATCCTTTAATACATAAATAATGATGACGACATAATTCGATCGGAAAATTTACTGAAATGTTCTATTTTTGGACATAAATAATAGTACCTTCTGAAAACGGACCCTCTTATGACGTAGAAACTTCATCTCGCCATAGTTAAAAGAAATTACCAAACGCCCGACGGAGACTGAGCCAACTGATATATGATATATCAATTCTTTCAACTGTGATCTCGCGCTAATTCACTCTGTCAGAAATCATGTATCATTCATCTCTGTCTGGAATAGTCTCGTTTCAGTATTAGGGTTTTGACCTCACATCATCGCCTCGTTCTCAGAGGTCCGAAAAATCGGGGATTTCAATAATTTTTTATAAAACGTAGGGAGCTCACAGCAAGAAACGGTTTGCGGTGGTGAGCTAGTTTGGGTGAGTTCTATCGAATTATGAAATAATTTTTTCTCGTGATATATGCCCATTGGATGATCTCGAAAACTTACCTGTGCCATGCACCCATCAATCCACGACATAGCGATGTATCTGCTGCTATTATTCCGGACATACTTCCGTCATGTAATAACGTGTTGAAACAAGAAGCAAATAAAAGGAGATAATGTTCCCTTTGCAGATATCTAAACGGGCCACGAGTCAAACTGATCCAAATTAGTGGCAGAGCGTCTCTCGAACGATTATATCCGATGGTCCAGTGTGAAACTCATGATGTGGTCCTTGCACTCCAGTATTCAAATCCACATGTTGAGCTCATGTGAGCTTTTTTACACTACGTGGACACCCGGTATATAGTGTCTCATACTTCTAATAAAAAGAACCTATCTTATGTAATTGTTGAGTAAGGATTCTGAAATTCGCAGAAGCGGGATATGTACCGAAAATACATCCCGGCGAGCACAAAAACATCTCAGAGATATTAAAAGTACGAGATTTCGAGACATTCAACCTCCACTGCGATGTTCTGTTCACACATGAATAGAACTATTATAGAACAGCCACACAGAAAAAAAAAATTTCTTCGAATGAGAAAACCCATTCTCTTGAAAATTCAATTGTATATTTTCTTTGAATTGAGCATATTCTTTTGAGTCGAAAAATCTGGTATGTTCAAGAAAATAGTGTCATATTATTGAAATATATTCTCAAACCAAGAATGCAATTATTCAGTTAATAAATTAATTACTTCAACTCAATCATAACGGTTCTTTCAATTCGCAGAAGCGTACTATTTTGTTTCAATAAATTTATTACTTGATCCAAGAATATAAGTATACATTTCTTCAAATCAAAGAATGTTCATTTCATCGAATGATATATTCAGTTTTCTCAAATTGCAAAAACCTAATAT